CCCCCACCCTGTAACAGTCTACATCAGGGGTCCTATTAAGGGCTATATATAACCATACTACAATGATTATCCAACTGTTACTGAGGGGGGCTAGTACCCAAGGTATACAGTTGAAATTCAAAGCTTGGGATAGGAGCGGCCTCGCAGCCTCCTGGTATCGTTTAGAGTTTCGGGTTTAGGGTTTATGTTTAGGGTTTAGGGTTTATGTTTTAGAGTTTAGGGTTAGGGCTTATGTTTTAGGGCTTTAGGGTTTAGGGATTGAGCATCTATCCCAAAGCTGAGGATTCTCGTTTCATATGGTGCAGGTTGACTACTGGCCCACCGTATGCATGTCACACAGGGGACCCTCACAGAGGGTATACCAAGGTGGACGGTGGAAATCTTGCACGACTTCGGATGCCCAACATTCTGTACCTCTTGGGGTTAAGGGTTTAGGGTTTAGGGTTTAGGGTCCCAACATTCTGTACCTCTTGGGGTATGACTGAAACACAGTGAGGAGGATTTCTTGGACAGTATAACTACAATTGCAGTCTTCGTGTACTGTCACAGGGCCCCTGGCTTTGCTTCCAGGGTCAAAGCCAACCCAAAGTGACAAAGACTGTCCACATCTAGATAGGTAGATTGGCAAACATCAGTGTCAAGTGTATGTACAGTGGATAACGCTCCATGAAAGACCCTAAGCTGATTTCAACCATAGTCTACACTCCTAATGTCCCCCTTAATAACCTCTATAATACTCCTCTATGTCATCCCCTATATAGCTCCCTTTAAGGAGTTTAGACTATAATTCATGTGGGATGCGCACGGAACTGTGTAGCTCTTAGGTGTTCATGGCTGGAGATTTGCACCTTCCAGACTACACTTATAGGGTTTTATAGGGATTATATTGGGGTTCCATAGGGGCTATATAAGGGTTACCTAGGGGTTATATAGGAGACATATAGGGCTTAAATTGGGGCTATATTGGGGTTACATAAGGGTTATATTGGCGTTGTACAGGGGTTACATCGGGTTATATTGGGGTTATATTGGGATAATGGAAAAGAAAATGGAAACTATGATTTAGGGTCTACACAAGCCACAGCTTTCGGCAAACATGACAAGTAGCTGCCGCAGATGTTCATGTCTCGAACGCCGCAGGCGACTACTGCTGTTGGTTTGCAATTCCATTCGTCGCCCAGCGGGGATTCCAGATAAACGGTAAAACTGTATTAAGGTGTATGCGGAAGGTTGTCTGAGTTACGGTTCTCTTTTGAGTCCTCGTGATAACACGGGCCCTAACATATTTAGGGCACCCATGACACCCATGTATTTTCCTGTAGGTATAGATGCGGGTCCCGGCCAACTCCCCAAACCCTCAACTTTGTCAAAAATTGGGGTCTTAGTGTAGGCCGTCCAGGGATAGATGGGGAATGTAAGGTTTTGGGTTAACCCTGAACCCTACGCCCTAAACCCCTAAACCCCTATACCCCTATACCCCTATACCCCTATACCCCAAAAGCCTAAACTCTTTGGGATTTCAAAACCTTTGGAATCATGTGTAAGGAATATTGTTAGGAATATTCATATTCATGTATGTATGACTTGCAAAGGAAAGAGACAATGAAAAGCCTCTTGAAGTCGGACGGGCGTTGAGCTAAGATTCCAAACCCTAAGCCCTAAATCCCCAAGCCCTAGACCCGAGGCTTTTAAAATGGTTGCATAGAAAATCACCATCTTAACCCTTCAGGATTTTCGATTTCAGTGAGGGTTGAAGGTTTGTTTTTTTTTTTCGCAGTTTAGGGGCTCAGGGTTGAAGATTTAAGGGTGCTTGGTAGGGAAGGAAGGAAGGAAGGAAGGAAGGGGCTATAGGGACACTGGTGCACTGCTGTAGGGATCCGTGCTTTTTTTCTTTCCCCAGGAACAACCTGAACCCTCGACTCTAGAGAATTCTTGGATCTTGTGTATGTTTGTTCCCATTTCTCATTCCCTATCAACCCTGTACCCTATACCCAAAACCCTAAATCCCTAAACCCAAAACCCTAGACCTAGGCTCCTAGTAAGAAGTGTCAACCATTGCAGCGCCAAGCGTCGGTGGGGAAGGCCCCAAATGGACATTCTTTGCTCCTGGAAAGTAGGGCTTGGGAACATAGGAGCTATAGTCTAAACTCCGAGTATCCCCCCTTTATAAGCCCTTTTGTAATCCCCGGCATAACACCCTGTACAACCCCCCTTAAAGGAGTTTAAACCCTGAACCCTAAACCCTACATAACCCTTTTTAAGGAGTTCAGACTTTAGCTCATATAGGGCTCAGGGATAGGGGCTTAAGGGTTTGGATGTTAAGTCTGCTTCCCCTACACCCCAAAACCCCAAACCCTAAGGTTCTCTAAGCACGCTAGACCCTAAACAACCCACACGGTTAAGGGTTTAGGGTTCCCCAAACCCTAAACCCTGAACCACAACGCTAAACCCTGAATCCTAAACCCTAAACCCTAAACCCGAAACCCCCTAACCCCACTAACACGAGCACCCAAGCTCCTCCTCGGAACCTTGCTTAGACACGGCCACGGCTAGGTCAAACGACTTGGGGGAAAAAAACATCGACGGGTAATTTGGGTGGGAGGTAACCCTAAGGGTCCAACGAACCAAATCATAGGGAGTTTATACTATACTATTAACAGTATTTGGGCCCTAGACCCTGTTATTTGGGTCCTTGGACCCTTCGGGTAAGGGATTCATATCCATGTTTGAGGGTTGAAGGGTTTAGGGTTGGGGATGATCTAAGATTGCGTAGAATGCTGACATGCGATGCTCGGCAGGTCCAGCACCGAACCAAAAGCACGAAATTATGTGAATCACCAACGTAAACTTAGATGACCTAGCTAATGAGAGAGTAAGACTCTGATAACTTTTGCGAACACACCTGAGCGGCATGCACACTCATTAAAAGTACAAATGCCGCGAGTAAGTAGCTCCCACCTACGCCCTACACCCTAAGGCCGTGTACCCGTCGCTCTAAGGCCCTAAGACCACACGAAAGCCCAAGCCCTCAAGCCCAAGGCCCCTGAATCTTCCAACCCCGTGCCCTAAGCTAAGTTGCTGTTAAGGAGCTTAATGCAAATTAGTCCATTGGGAAACTATATTAATTGCTGTATATAAATATATACACATTATGGTAACTTAATTTAAGTTCCTTAACAGCAATCCAGTAAACCCTGGTGGTCTTAGGGATGCCACAAGAATCCTCCATGACTTCTGCACCATGGCCGCTGGGCACAGGAGGGTCGCTTGCCAAGCTCTATCTCTTTCCGAGGTTACTCCCTATCTGAGGGAGCCACTCTGGGATACGTGCCCTGCATGTGTACAGCATCTAACAGGTTGGAGCACCCAAAAAGTGGCAACTGTTCTTATACCATTTCCCGGCCGTTGCTCAGCTGGCTGTCGTTTACCAACGCCTTAATATGAAACCTGGAATCCGGCTGGCGTGAGTTAGGGCCCTGAGCCCTGAAATGTAAGGGTGCATAAGTGGAACAGCATGTGGTGATTGAGGGCTAAGGAGCAGTGGTCCCGAATATCTTGCCGAGAATGAACCCTGACATCAGTGTGTTGCAAGCTACCTGAGCCATTGTCTAAACTCCTAGTATCCCCCTTAATAAGCCCTATAATAGTCCCCTATAGAATCCCCTATATAACCCCCCCTATAAGGAGTTTAGACTGAAGCTCACCTGAGCCCAAAAAGCTTATAGGACCAGTGGAACAGCGGCTTTTGGAATGCGGCCAAGGGGCTAGAGGGACTTGAGGATTTAGGGTTGAGGATTTGGGGATTAAGGGTTTAGGGATTTAGGGTTTAGGGTTTGGGGATTAAGGGTTTAGGGATTTAGGGTTTAGGGTTTGGGGATTAACGGTTTAGGGATTGAGGGTTAAGATTTTGGGGGCTTGGTTCGAGGGATGCAGCTGCGAGTATGGCAATTGTCTCGAGAGCTAGCTATGTCCAGCACAGGACTTCTGAAGAGACAGGCTCCCAAACCCTGAACCCCAAACCCTAGCGTGCTGGGTAGGGAACGTGAGAGTGATTTGGGTGGTTGTCAAAATAATGAACCCTTTTTGCGTATCCTAAATATTAGGGCCGTATTCTAATAGAGATCCAAAAAGGGACCATAATTTGACAACCACCCACTTCTGTTGCTAGCAACTGACTGGTGCTTAAGGGAGAGTGGGGGAGTGGATCCCTATAGTGCCCCCTATATGAGCTATAAAATCTAAACTCCTGGTATCCCCCTTCATAACCCCTATACTCCCCTATATAAGCCCCCTTAAGGAGTTTAGACTGAAGTACATATAGTCCCCATATAACCCCCCCCACCCCCAAGATGGCTATGACCATTCCCCCACTCCCTCTTAAGCGCCAGGAGAGAAACGATTGTATGAGGACCACTGCACAGTTCCATACCCAATGGGATCACTGTGTGGTTCCATCTCCAACAGCAAGGGTTTAGGGTTTAGGGCTTAGGGTTAGCCAGCCAGCCAGCCAACCAACCAACCAACAACCCTAAACCCTAAACCCTAAACCCTAAACAGAAAGAAGGCTTCACCTTGTGTTCGTCATGCGAAGCATTACCTCCAAAGCACTGCTGCTACCCTCTCCCATGATAACACGGAACCTAAAAAGGGTTTAGTGTTTAGGGTTTAGGGTTTAGGCGTTTTACAAAAGGTCCTTTGTGGGGATCCAGGGTTTTTGTTTGGGGCCCACGAGCGGGACAGAGGAGCGTTTTCACGCAGATCTGAATCCATGATACTCAATCTATGCCTGAATGGCCAGCAAGCAATTCCAATGAGGTAGAGTTGTGCATGTTCACTGTGCTGTCTCCCACTTTGGGGAGCTTCTTTAAAGGGCCCACGAACCCGAATGAGAAAGGGGTTCAGGTGCCCAGAACCATAAAGACTGGAGAACTTTGCTCCTCGTCCTCAACTTCAACGTTTGAGTGCTCGGACCCTTCGCCATTAAAGATCGGCTCAAAGCCTCAAAGCAACTGGGCATACGTGTGTACGTCTTCGCGTCTTGTGAGCGCCCTATTGAAGGCGAAACCGGCGAAGAACCTGGTGTAAAGCTTTGAACCGGTCCGCTTGAAGGGTTTATAGGGTTCGTACAGGCTCTATGGGGATAGATAGGGGTATATAATACGGGTTACGGTCGCAGGTTTCAAGGATTGCTCATACTCAAGGTTTTGGATTGGGGCGGTTGACAGCTTAGCGGCTTAGGCTTGAGTGAGGTAAAGCCGCTATGGCACTTGTTAAAGTTGAGGTTGGGGGGGGGGGTGTACGACAGCTCAATTTAGGCTTTATGAAGAAAAGTTGGAATACGCTTCAGGCTTCAGGATGTTGGGCCAAGATAATGAGATAGTGCTAAAGATGGAACTTTTTTTAGATTTAGGAAGTTGATCCGCTCCTCATCCTTGGATACCTGCAATGTAAGTTACCCCCACATCGAAGTCTAATCAAGAGGAGATAACCTTCAGGCACCCAGGCTCGAGGCATCAACGGCCTGTCGAGAAAAAAAGCGTTGCAGCTTCTCCAGACGGTCTAGATCCAGGCTGAAGGGCTGAAGTTTAAAAGGATTGAAATCCCATTCTAACCCCGGAAGAAGCCGTGAAGCCAGAACTGTACACCTCGGTCCTAAGCTTTCAACCCAGCTAGAGGATACTAAGTCAGCTGATTTGGAGGTTTCCCAAAATTGAGGGTACCTTATTGGGGGTCACCCTAATAAGGACTAGAATAGTTTTGGGGTCTGTACTGGGGTCCCCCTATTTTCAGAAACTACCATTTTACACCTAAACCATACATAAACCCACCCTAGACCCTGACAAGGTTTGGGACTCAACCAGGGAAGCCCAACGCCCATGCTGTAAACCTCAACATTCCTTTTGTGCGTCCTTCCTTATCATAAGAACCCTCCTCATGTAAACTATGTACGTAGTTGACCCACTGTTTTGAGAAATGCGCGAGCTTACTGCAGTTTTTTAAGTGTACCCTACACCTCTCGAAACATGTCCTAAAATCTCTCAACCCTAAAAACCCTAAACCCTAGACCCTCAAGTCTACCAAACCTAGTGTAGACCCCTGGTTAACAAACCTCCTCCATTTAAGCGCCCTAGTATTAGGATCCCTATTCCCTATTATAATTCCCATGAAGGGGAGGGGGTTTATTAATTAGGGTCGAAATGAAGCCTTAAGAGTTGAATCTGCTTTAAGAGTTGAATCTGCTTGATGGAAGAAATTCCAAACCTTGGATACCCTAATTCCTGAAATTTACAATGATGGGAGGAGTTTGGTAAACACCCCCCCCCCCCAAAAAAAAGTGTAGGACCCTATGACTATCATATGATCATCATGGGGTCCAACATTTTGGGGGTTAGGGTTACCAAGATCGAAATGCTAGTCATACACAATGCATCAGGAACCCTACCTTAAGCTACCAAAACCTACTTTTTTGTAGGTTCCCTAGAAGTTCGATACCAGGGCTTATAATAGGACCCTAATGCAGCATTTTTAGTATCCACCCTAGGTGATGCAGGAAATCGTGCGTCCGGGAACGCTGTGCTGGCCACCGCCACGATTGTCACCGCCGGAAAGGCGAAGGCCGATGTAGGTGAAGATGCCTAAGTGCATATGAGCCTAAACTCCTTAAAGGGGGGTTATATAGGGATCATATAGGCGACTATTATAAGGCTTACAAGGGGGGGATACTAGGAGTTTAGACTATAGCGCATATGTGAGCTAGTCTAAACTCCGAGTATTCCCCTCAATAACCCTTATAGTAGTCCCCGATATAATCCCCTAACTAACCCCCTTTTAGGGACTTTAGACTGCAGCCAGTATGCGCGGAGATACTAAGCCCCCAGTCGTACTGCTAGTTGTTATGGAAACTCAACTTGATTAGTATTGTATGTTTCTGAACTCCTTATTGATGATGTTATTTCATATTGCAAGCTCTATACCCCTTGACACTAAGACCTTGTACTTGTTACTATTATTTCCCTCTTATGGTTCTTATTCTTCTATATTAGGTGAAGCTGCTCCACTGGCGGCGCTCACCGCGCTCCTTGCGTTGGCACGTTGGGTTCAAGCTTTAAGTTGGCAACCCCTAAACCCTTAACCCTAAACCCAAAACCCTAAACCCTGAAGCCTAAACCCTTAACCCTAAACCTTATAGGCCTTAGCGTTTGGGGTTTCGGTGTCGGGGGCTTGGAGTTCAGGCATACTAAATGTAGGCAAAGCATGCGACTCCTCATACTACACTCGAGGTTTCCCTTATTCCCGGCTTAACCCAGTAAACCCTAACCTCTAACCCCTAAACCTTGAATCCTGAACCCTAAACCCTAACCCCTAAACCCTAGACCCTTAACCCTTAAACCCTAAATCCTGAACTGAGCCATTGTCTAAACTCCTGGTATCCCCCTTAATGACCCCTATAGTAGTCCCCTATATAGTCCCTCATATAACCCCCCTACAAGGAGTTTAGACTATAGCTCAAATGAGCTCCTCCCTGAACCCCGGCGCGCTACCGCACACCCGAAGGTTGCCCCTACACCCCCTGAAGGTTTCGCATGGGATTTTGGGCCCTAGGATTCAGGCTGTGGGGTTCCTGAGGCTAGGGTTTAGGGTTTAGGGTTTAGGGCTCCAAATCGCATCTATTCAGTCACAGCTAGGTATATAGTGCCCCTCAAGTAGATAGAGTATAAGGGGAGCTATATCCAAACTTCTTCTGGCAAAATCATGTGCTGATTAGGTGCTTGGTCGGATCCCTTCAGGTGGAGTTTCTCAGGACAACGTCAAGAGGAGACGCTCCATCAAAATCTGAGCGTCCGACATTTCTTGTCTTCCACACATACCCCTGCGTTCACAAAATGCTCCAAGGGTCGCCGTTCGTTTGTGGAATGGCCCTGCAGACTCTGCGTCAAAGGCTTCAGCCACGTCATCTTCAGGGTGAAAGCCGGCCAACGAGCCTGATCAAGATTAAGGGACTTCAGGGTTTAAGGTTTTAGGGGTTCAGGGTTTAAGGTTTTAGGGGTTTAGGGTTTAAGGTTTTAGGGGTGTAGGGTTTAAGGTTTTAGG